TTGATGGCTGTGCTTTGCCTTCGCGGTCAAAGGCAGTAACGCTTCTGAAGACCAGTTGCTGAAAACCACAGCAGCTCAAATCCTGTATGCAGGATTCCCAGCAGAGGCATCTGGTTGGCCATTGTGAGAACAGGATGCTGGACTAGATGAGCCATTGGCCAGATCCAGAAGGCTCTTCTGTTGTTCGTACCTGCCGGGTGTGGTAGAATATGAGGATGGAGAGAGGGAGAAGGGGGTGTTTCCCACAAACATTTGACTCCTTACTCTGCCCACCATTGCATTGGCTTCACCCACCTCTACCACATTTTCCCCTGAGGGGATGCAGCCCTTAAGACAACAAAAACAACAGCTCCTTGCCCTTAAATGATCTTGGGAGTTGCGGCTGGCCACCTATGTTGATAGGAAGTTGAGCAGACAGCTTTGAGCTCCACCGGGATGCTTCATGTTTTTTAACCACCACGGTCTCTTCCTGTCTGTCTGAATGTCTTAGAAAATGGGACAGCTAGAAGGGCAGAGTCTCAAGGCTTATTTTGGAGCTTTTCCATCAAAGGAAAATGAGGACAGCCAAGCAGACTGGAAAAGCTGTGATAATGGCGTCAAAACCGCCGGAGCAGTGATGAAGACGCACAGAGGCAAGGACTCAGCCCGCTGAATGCTGCTGCTGCCTGCTTCTGTTGAAGTCCCCGTCTAAAGGCAGAACAGGAAGCCACACTTAAGGTACGCTGGAGCACAGCGTCTCAGAAGTGGGCGAGAAAATGTCAGACGTACCTAAAGCTGCCAGTCAGGATTCCAGGGGCAAGAGGAGTTTTGGAGGGCTATTTTGGAGTATTTAAAAAACACACAAAAAAACCAACTGGTTTGCAAATTATCTAGAGCTCGAGGTGCGCAGTGAGCCAGCCAAGTTTGCTGATGATACTGAATTGTTCATGGTGGTTAAAACAAAAGAGGGATTGTGAAGAGCTCCTAAAGGATCTCCCCAAAGTAGATAAATGGGCGGTAAAATGCAGTTCAGTGTAAGCAAGCATAAAGTCATGCACACTGGGGCAAAAAAAGGTCTTAATTTCATATATATGTCTGTGGGGTCTGTACTGGCAGTGACTCGCCAGGCACCAGAGGAGGTATTGTGCCAGCCCTCTGCTCCCTACATGACACCTGATGATGAATGGTTCTGTGTTAGTTTCTGAAGATGCTACTCTTCTCACTTCATATTATGGAGACCTGAGGGAACCTCAGTGCCTAGAAGGGCCTTTTACCAACTACAGCATCTGCAACATCTGCAATTGTTGCTGGACTGGGAAAGCTTGGCCACAGTGGTTCATGCATTGGTTCCTTCAGAATTGGATTACTGCTGTGTGCTCTCTGTGGGGCTTCCCTTGTCCCTGATCCAGAAGCTGCAGTTAGTGCAGGTTGCTGCAGCATGATTGCTGACAGGTGAGACCCAGTCAGCGAATAACATCTCTGCTCAGAGATCTGCACTGGTTGCTGATTTGCTATTGGGACAAGTTCAAGGTGCTGCTATTATTCTATAAAGCCCTTAACTTGGGACCAGTTTACCTGCACGATCGCCTTACCCCATATATGCCCACTCAACCACTTTGATCTGCAGAACTGGCACTGTTATAGGTGCCTTGTTATACTGTACTTGTTCCACATTTTTAAGACATCAGCCTTTTAGTGGGGCAGCACCTACATTCTGGAACTCCCTGCCTCTGGACATCAGGCAGGCCGCTTCATAGAGCTCTTTTTTCAGTGCCTAAACATTTGTGTTTAGACAGATCTCCTGAGGCATGTAGAATATTGATGTGTGTTTTAATCTGTTTTTAGATTATCATTAATGTTCATTATTTTTGAAATTGTTTTAATTCGTGGTTTTAAAACTGATTTTACAGGTATTTTTGTTGTTTTCGTCTTTTTGTAAAGCACTTTGGTGTTGGTGTTGTTTTTACAATCAAGCAGGTGATGTTGATGATAGTAATATCATCTTTTAGGGAGCCTGTTGGCAGCTGGAATCCACAACTGATACCGAGGAGTTCCAGAGACCTTGGAAATTGCCCTTAATGGATAAATTAACACAACAAATCCATTCTTCAAACAGTGGCCCACAAAGAGACAGTTTTGTCGAATGTTGGTTTCTGTTTATTTCACTGGCCACTCAGGGCTTGTCTCTTAAACACATTTCAGTTGTCTTCAAATTGTTTTTGTCAGATGTCCTGACTTCAACAGTCTCTGGTATGACGGAAGCAAGATAGTTTCTGATCATATTTGTTAGCTTCTGATCTGGTCTTCCTAAGGTTGTCATAAGTGCCCATTGTACATTCCTTCTCCTACCCACCCTTCCTGTTTATTGCCTGGCTCACATTCTGTTTTCTGAAATAATAATAATAGTAATAATAATAATATCATCATGGGTGCAGGGTTGTGAAATACATTTGCCTGGGATAGTGGAGGCCTGCTGCTTATCAGAACAGAAAGTAATGATAATGGATTAGACCAGATGGGTGATATTTGGCTGCCTCCATAGCTCATGCTTTCAGAAAGTCCCAGGTTCAGTCTCCTAAGCAAAGGGGTCACAGCTCTGATGGCTACCCATCAGAACAGATTGTGCTGAGTTGGGCACAACAGGCAGCAATGGTGAGGAGAGGGGTGGCACTAGGTTGGAGTTCCTGGAAGGTACAGTGATGTACTAATGCTGTAACCTTGGTGGTGACCTGATCCTTGGTGATGTCTACCACCAAGGGAAAGTGATGTCCCAAGGATGATGGAGATCCATAGGCTGGAGCAGATGGGAGGATAAGATCAGTTCAGGACCTTGGACAGCGATCAAGGCACTGCTTTGGGACCATGGACAGCAGCCCTGCAGTTGTGGCAAGAAGAGCATGCTGTCTCATCTGGGGCCCTATCCTGGGACTAGAAAGCATGAGTCGGAATGGTTTATTGCTTGTCCCTTGCTTTCTAGACATTGGTCAAGTGGGTTTGCCACTTCCCTGCTGATTTCCCCTGGAAAACCCACTCTTCAGTGCTAAAACAGAGCAAACATCAACCTGGAGAAAACCCAATTGATGTTTGCTCTGATTCAGCACTAAAGATTGGGTTTTCCTGGGAAATGTGGATAAACCCTGGGTCTTGGATCGAGTCTGGGCTTTATAGTCCGGGCTCGGTATTCAAGACAATAGCCCTGCCCCCTAACTACCTCTGTCCAGCTAGGAGGCTGGTGCCTTTTCTTGCAGTTGGTACCTTTGTCCTCTCAGTGGGATTTCAACAACAGCAACTCTGGGGAAAGAAAAGAGCCCCCAAGTTTGACTTCTTGGCAGCCTTGAAAAAGTATCAAAGGTGTCCTTCTTGTCTGAATTTCTGGACCACTGGACCATGTCGGATTCTCAGGTGACTGGTTGCTTGATACACGAACTCCCTCCCATGGAGCTGCATCAGCAGCTCCAAAAAGAGGCAGAAGGAACATCTATAGTCAAATGTGACCGAACTCACCCAAGGAACAGATTAAGGTGCTATTTTTACACTGTTGCTGCGCCATGCATTTAAATCCCCGGGGTGGAAATTGAGTTTTGCGACTCAGCAGAGTGGGAATAGACGTGGTTTGGTGCCCTTTGGGGGCGGTAGGTTGCGACCCCCCAAGCAATTTCTTCCTCTTGGCAAACACCTGGTTTTGGCAGGGAGGAAGAATAACTCTGCTGTTGCAGATTTGCTCAAGGGAGGTTGTAGAAGGATATCTTGGAAGGGTTGCCATCAGTAGGCTGCTTCTGAAGTTGCCGTTGTACATGCAGTGCTCCTCATTTCGATTTTTCACATGGCAGCTGGTACCTCCCGAGTTCTTGTACATTTTCCTCCTATCCTTGCTGGTAACTGAACAAAAACCTGTCCTTTGTGCAAAACCCAAGCTGCTGGTCCTCATTGTTGCGTGGAATTTTGCAGAATGTTTTCCAATGATCAGAAACATGTGAGGTCCTAGTCTGTGATCTGGTCACTGAACTCTGCACCAGCTTCAGTTTCTGAACCTTCTTCAAAGGCAGCCCCACATCTAATGCATAGCAGTAATCTAACCTCAAGCTTAGCAGACTGCATAGACAAGGTCTATGCAAAGACAGATTATTCACATAAGGATAGAGAAGCAATGATGGCCACCAACCTAGATGCTTTAAAAGAGGATTGGAGAAATTCATGGAAGAGAAGGCTATCAGTGGCTACTAGCCATGATGGCTGTGCTCTGCCTCCAGAGTTAGAAGCAGTAAGACTTCTGAATACTAGTTGCTGGAAAACAAAGGGGAAGGAGAGTACTGTGGTGCTTGGGTCCTGCTTGAAGGTTTCCTACAGGCATCTGGCTGGCCACTGTGAGGACAGGGTGCTAAACCAGCTGGGTCATGGGCCTGATCCAGCAGGCTCTGCTTATGTTCAGCAGGGCTACCAAAGAAAGCTGGCAGCAGACATTCCTTGCCACTGTAATGAATCCAGGAGTATCTCCAAACTGTGGACCTGCTCCTTTCAGGGGAGTGTGATCTCAACCAGAACTGGCTGAAAACCAGTCAGGGGATCTATCCAACAGTACAAAATACACTAGTGAATACGTTTGTATTTGCTTCCAGTTGAGCTACTGCTCATCATCTCTACCCATTGGGCTAAGGCAGGCATCTTTGGCAGCTTTAGATGCAATTTTAAAGGGGTGGGTGGGAAGGAAAAATACAGTTACAGCTCTACCAACCTAACCCCAGACAGCCCCTGCCAATCACCTTCCCTAAGGAGGGATCATGCCAGCAGATTGGATGCATTATGCACATCTGGCAGGACTGTGTGTCTCAGCCTCTGTTTTGTATTATGCACAGGGATCTTATTTATTTTATTATTTATACATAAAAAATATTTATATACCAACTGTATTAAAAATATATCATAGCAGTTTACAACAGTATAAAACATAAAGCCAGACAATAAGAAGTTTTTTTAAAAAAGAAGAAGTTAAAAGCAAAAAGAGATTAAAAAACGAACATCAGTAGCGCATAGCTCAGTCGGTAGAGCATGAGACTCTTAATCTCAGGATCATATGTTTGAGCCCCATGTTGGGTAAAAGATTCCTGCATTGCAGGAGATTACCTTTGTGGTCCCTTCCAACTTTACAGTTCTATGATTGTGAGGGATGTACTCTTAATTGCCTGCAAAGGCCTGGTGGAATAGAAAAGTTTTCAGCAGGCATTTTAAAGTTGAGACAGAAGGCACCTGCCCAAATCTCTAGTGGCAAAGTGTTCCGCAGGAATGGACCAGTGACACTAAAGGCTCAATTTCTCATTGTTTGTCAAGCGAGCCTCACCAACTCGGGGAACAACCCAATATGCTCCTGGAGAGGATCTCAGTGATAATAGTGGTTCAGGCAGTCCCTCAGGTATCCTGGACCAAAATTGTTCAGGGCTTTGTAAATCAATACAAGAACCTTGAACCTTCTCACTCAAGGGGGCAGAGGGTTCTGGAGGCAGGTGCTGGAGTGCCTGTTTTCTCTCCAGAGAAACATGTTCCTTCCTCTGCCCAGCCTCTGAGCTTTCACCACCTGTTGCCCAGAAATTTCTAGCCCTATCTATGTAGCCATGAAGTCTGGAAACCTGCTTTAAAAAAAATTAAAAGAAGGATGGCGGTATTTGTGCTGTACCAATTTCTGCTGTGCAAGTGGCCTCTCCTCTATTTGCGCCCAGGGCTAATTCCTTCTTGTGCCTGCGGGTTCTTTGGGAGGCATGGCTTTCACTGCCCCCACACCATTCTGCTCCCTCCCCTCACAGGTGCTGCCTGCAGCTGTTAAAATTCAGGACCCGCCAGTTGCTCCTTAGCTAAAACATCAGTAATGACTTCCACGCTTCATTATTCTCTTTATGGTTGTCTGGCTAGGCGGCCTGGCTCCCTGACTGAGATTTAAATACACAGTTAATCCATATTCTCCCTCTCTTCTGCTTTTAATTCTTATCCAGAAATCGAACTCTCTTGGAAGAGGATTACAGATTCTAGCCACCCCCATCCTTCGCCTCCTCCTCCTCCTGCTTGCTGGTCTCCCCCCAGACTCCTCTAAACTCGCAGGCTCAGGACCTTTCTATCTATCTTAATTAGTAAGCTCAGGGTCAGAACTGCAGCGAAATTCGTGTGTGTCCTGGGCTTTAAGCGCTTTTCATCCAAATCCTCTTGCACCTTCTCTGCTCCCCTGTCATCTCCAAAGCTGTCTCTTCAAGGTCATCTCCACACTTATGTCTCCAGTCAAGATGGCCTGGGGTTTCTCAGCTGGCAAAAGCTCTTTGCTGGCCTGAATGTAAGAGAGCCTTGCAGGATCAGACCAAAGATCCATCGGAGTCCAGCTTCGCGCAGTGGCCAACCAGATGCTTCTTGGAAGCCTGTCACACCCTCCTGTGCCCAAGCGCACCAATTTAGGAGCAAGAGTGTCCTTTAATTCAGATCACCAATCCCCTTTTGCTTGGAACTCACTGGAACTGAGTTCTGGCACCTCTCAGATCAGTGCCATTGCCATTATAAGAGAACAAGGGGGCATTCATGGTGAGTTCCAGCACCTCTTGGATCAGGTCAATGGCCCATCTAGTCAAAGATCGTCTTCTCGCAGTGGCCAACCAGATGCCTCTTCTGGGAAACTTGCTAGCAGGATTGAAGCACAAGAGTTCTCTCCCCTGCTGTGGTTTCTAGCAACTGGCATTCAGAAACATTGCTGCCGCCAGCTGTCTAACTGCTGATATTCTGCTGCCACCCTATAGACGCTGCTTTATCTGACCGACTTTGTCACAGCCTTGATAGCTTGGCCAAAGATGAGACGTGCTTCGAACAAACAAATCTGTATCATTATACTAACGGCTGAATATAGTATGTGTTTGCTTTCAGTAACAGGGTTTGGGGTACTTTGTATTTCATAGCATGTGCTTATGAGTCTAGTCCTAATGCAAACCCTAATCCTGTCCTATCCCCTACTTCTCAACACTCACACCAGCAACTCTTCTCCTTCGCTCTCCAATATCTAACTGCCACTTTCCCTCAAACACACCTGTTCTAACTGCCACGTTCCCAGTCAATCAGCACATGACACACCCCATCATCCCATGCCTCTCTCACACACGCCCTCCCAAGACTCATGAACCTTCCTTCCTTTCTTACAAATATCCCCTTGCATAACACTTTGCTGTATGCCTCTAGATGTACAGACTTGCACAAGTCAGTAAAATGGCAAATACCACGAAGTCCCTGAGAAGTGAAGGAAGGCAGCAGCAGCCCCTTCGTGCCTTGGGTCTCACATAGTTACACTGGAACCAGTGTTTGTGGATTTGGCATATTTATGGGCAAATGTGTCCCAAGAAGCTCATGGTGTCATAATGAAGTCATTTAAAAAAGAAAAAAGGAAGAAAAAGAAATAGTCAAACTCACAAGAAGAGAAGGCACTGCAGAGCACAGGAGTGAGGTGAAGGGCTAGCACAAAACGTCATTCAAACACTTTAAAACCTTGGACAACTGAAAAAAGGGTTTCCACCCTAAGAATGCATTACCTTTTAAAGCAACTATATTGCAGTTGCAGCTCATGTTCAACTTGGGAACAACCACTATGGCTGCAGTCCTAAGATGGGTGGGTGGTGGAAGTGAGGGCATTTGGGCCACCTCATTCTGGACCCTGCTTGGGTCATAGGTCATGGCATGGCAGAACTGAGATCAGGGAGTACATGGTTCAAGGCCTTTGAGGCGGGGGCCCTGTGCCTGTGGAATTTGCCTCTGAATGAAATCAGGGAAAGACTGCAGGCAGAAGGTCCCAGGTTCAATCCCTGATAGCATCTCCAGGAAGGGCTTGGGGTGGGATCTTGCTTGAAACCTTGGAGAACCACTGCCAGCATGGTGGAGAGCCAGCATGATGTAGTGGTTAAGAACAGCGGACTCGTAATCTGATGAACCGGGTTCGCTTCCCCGCTCCTCCACATGCAGCTGCTGGGTGACCTTGGGCTAGTCACACTTCTCCGAAGTGTCTCAGCCTCACTCACCTCACAGTGTGTTTGTTGTGGGGGAGTAAGGGAAAGGAGATTGTTAGACTCCTTTGAGACTCCTTAAGGGGAGTGAAAGGTGGGATATCAAGTCCAAACTCCTCCTCCTCCTCCTCCTCCTCCTCCTCCTCTTCTTCTTCTTCTTCATGCTAGATGACCCAAAAGTCCCAACAAGTTTGTTCCAACAAGTCTGTCCCAACAAGTTTCCAAGTGGACACTGAAGATAGGCCTCTGCCACACGTATGGAGTAGCCTTCTGATGGGGCACTCCTGCTTTGTTCTGCTTACACTGACTTCTATTGTTGTGCTAGGTTGACTGTTTTATTGCATTTTCTAAGTTTCAGGTGCTGGCATGCCTCAAAAGTGTTTAGTACTGTTATTGTATGCTATGTTTGCTGCCTTGCAACACTGCTCTCCTATAAAGTAGTATAAAAGTCCACTATCTAAGTTAAATCATAGTGGCCTGCCCTCGCGGGGCTGCTGTAAGGATGGTGGGACTGATGTGCCAGCAAAACTATATGGGAAAGGGTTGCACAGATTCCTAATTTGGGCTTTTTCAGCTCTCCTCTCTGTTCGGGCCAGGCTGTTGCCATAGCCTCCCTGCCTTTTCAATGCCCTTCGTCTCTTGCTCATCCTTGTGTGTGGATTCTGCGTGCATTCTCTGAGCCTCTCTGCTAAATATTTGATCTGACAGCAGATCGCTCTGGTCTGTGGGTTTAATGGTGCGTAGCCTGGCGCCTCTGTATTTACTGAAGGGACCGAGGCGAGGGAGAGGGGCGCCATCCTCAGCTTGCTGCATCTTGCCAGGCATAAAGGATGAACGCGGGGCTAGTAGTCGGGAATTACCCTTCCCATCTCCCCCGCCCTCCGTTTGCGAAAACTGCTTCAGCTTCCGCCACCCCGCCATCGCCGTCCGTGCGTTCAGCTGCGCTCGCTCCAGAGGAGAGCAATCTATCCCTGGGAAGAAAACCTTGAATCTTTAATTACTTGACTACTCAGACAGGAGAAATAAATCGCTAGCACTTGGCCTTGGTTCCCTGAGTTTCTGTGGCCTCCAACGCGAGGGGAGCGAAAGTTGACGGAAGCGGGACTCCCTGCCCCAGCAGCATCTGGGCTTCTTGCTTCAGGGAGAAGTGGGCCCTCTCCTGCTCCTGCCGCAGCTCTCAGTGGAGGATGAAGAACTCAAGTTTGGAGGACTCTGTTTCTGCCAAACTCTTTAATGCTGACATCAGTACGGTACAGAAAGAGATTCAGAAGCAATGCAGGTGGTGTGGCTGTATAAGCCATGGGTAGGCAAACTAAGGCCCGGGGGCCAGATCCTGCCCAATCGCCTTCTAAGTCCAGCCCACGGACAGTCCAGGAATCAGCATGTTTTTACATGAGTAGAATGTGTCCTTTTATTTAAAATGCATCTCTGGGTTATTTGTGGGACATAGGAATTTGTTCATTCCCCCCCCCCCCATATAGTCCGGCCCCCCACAAGGTCAGAGGGACAATGGACCTGCCCCCTGCTGAAAAAGTTTGCTGGCCCCTGGTAAGCTATTGATCCAAGAAGAGACATGTCCCTGTGGGTCCCCTTATGTGGGAATGGGGTGCACAATTTCAACATGGCAAGCAGGGTGTCCTTTAGGCTGGGGAGTCAAATGGGAACTGCTTCTGGAGCACTGGGCCTAAGCGATCTTTCAGCTTCTGCTCTGGTGTCTCCAGAACTGGGATGATGGAGGAGGCAACAGTGGTGGCTACGAACCAGACTGAGCAGCAGACTGCTCCTGAGAAGATGGGCTCGGGGAATGTTCCGTTGATGCCAGAGGGCTGCCAGGATCAGCGGTGAGGCTGGCATGGGAGCTGGGAGTGAAGGAGGTGCAGTGCACCTGAATGACACAAGAAGGGGCAGAATGGAGTGCTTGGGGGCACGCCGCTGGGACCCTCCCTGGGATGTGACTCTGGTATGAGGCCCTGTCCCTGCTCTCTGTGCCAGAGGTCATCAACAAGTACCTACTGCCGCCCACATCCTGATCTGATCAACTCTACCACAGTGCCTCTTCAGGACTCATGACTTCTCCTCTG